GGATTTATATTTATTTGGTATCTTTTTGTTTTTCAGCACAACACTGAGTCTTCCTACTGCTGACCAAGTCATTTGGATTCTTTTGATGATAACTTCCATATGATTCTGTTTATATAGTTTAATCGCGTTACTTTTTTGTGGTAAATCTTCTAAAGATCGTACGAAGCCATGTCCCCTTAAGGATAAACTAACGTGTATTGGATACAGGATGGGAGGATCCATTCTGCACTCTTCTATTATTCTTGATGTTAAGCACTTGTTGCCATAGCAGTGCCTCATAGAGTAGAGTAAAGTAGACCAGTTTTCATAAAATTCTCCTTTTGACAATCCCTGGACCTCCCACTTTGATTATCGCTTGTCAGCACACGATGCTTGTCAACATCGAAATCTTCTCCGTTGCCTTGCGAACGGCGTATTTCATGTGCTCACCAAAAGTTCGCCTCTTATCTATGACTACTCTTAAGCACTTTACTTTTTTGACATGTAAGCTTTTTTCTTCCTTCAGGATATCATACTCTTCGACGCTTTCGATGTCACTTCCATTTTAAACTAATTCTCGTTCCCTTAGCCTGTATAGTAGTTTCTCTGTATTGTTGCATGAGTACTATTTTATCAGCAAAACTTGATAAGTATCTTCGATTAGTTTTATATAAATCAGTCATCGATTATATTTACATAAAATATATATATATATATATATATATATATATATATATATATATTATATATATATATATAAAACTGTTTTGGATGATATATATATATATATATATATATATAGCTTAAGGTTTCGTAATGGAGTACTAAGTGCAAAAACCTATCCAAGCGCAGATGCAGATACGGATCATAATCTATTACTAGCAAACGTCAACATTAAACTCAGGAAACCGGAGAAAAAGTTAAAACCACCAAAATTAACATCAAAAACCTAAAAAACGACAACTGCCAACAGCAACTAAACGCAGAGATAAATAAATTAACTGAAGGAAGCGTTGAATGGGCAGATATGAAAAAAGCCATACTAAAAGCGGGAAAGGAGGTCCTAGGCGAAGAAGAGAAAACAACTAAAAAAGACTGGATGACACCGGAAATAGTTGAGCTAATAACTGAAAAAAGAAAATACAAAAATAAAGATGAAAATAAATATAAAACCATCAAGAATAAAATCAAATATGAAATCAGAAAGGCTAAGGAGGAATGGATGAACAAAGAATGCCAGGAATTGGAAGAACTCAGCAACAAACATGACACCTCAAACTTACATAAAAAAATTAAAGAACTTACAGGCAACACCAGACAAAGAAGAACACTCATAACAAGAGATAATAATGGAGAAATACTTACTGAAGAGAGCAAAATAAAGGAAGTATGGGAACAATATATAATTCATCTTTTCCATGACGAGAGAGAAAATGAACAAGATATAGGTGAAGAAAAACAATACCTACAAATTTTACCCTCAGAAGTAAAGAATGCCCTACAGAATGCAAAACAAGGAAAAGCACCGGGTCCTGATCAAATTCCAGTTGAACTGTTAAAAGCCTTAGATGACTCACCCGAATTCTCAACCACATATATGTAGAGGGCAACATCCCGGAAGAATGGCTTAGATCGATATTTTTACCTCTACCAAAAAACAACAATCCCAAATCATGTAATGACTATAGATTGATAAGCCTAATGTGCCACCCTTTAAAGATTCTTTTGAAAATTGTTCAAAGCCGAATTTATAAGAAATGTGAGGAACAGATAGATGAAACTCAGTTTGGCTTCAGAGGAGGCATGAGTACAAGAGAGGCATTATTTGCGTTGACGGTACTCTTGCAGAAATGTTGGGAATATAACAAGAGTGCATATGTATGCTTCATAGACTTTAGGAAGGCCTTTGACCGAGTGCAGCATATGAAGTTAATAGATGAATTAAAAAACATCAATTTAGACAAAAAAGACATTGAGTTTATTAAGGCTATATACTGGAACCAGAAAGCAGTAGTAAAGGTGAACGATATAGAAACAAATAATATACCGATTGAAAAAGGGGTTAGGCAAGGATGCGTCTTGTCTCCGACGCTTTTCAACGTGTACTCACAGGTCATATTCAGAAAAGCCTTATGGGAAAGAAAAGAGGGAATAAGAATTGGTGGAGAAATCATAAACACCATGAGATTTGCAGATGACACGGTAATTATGGCTGAGAGTATAGAAGATCTACAAACTTTACTAGATGCACTAAATAGTGAATGCATTCAAATGGGACTTGACATCAACACAGATAAGACCAAATTTATGATAGTATCAAGGAGTAAAATAAATAATGAACAACTAACTCTTGGTGGACAGCAAATAGAGAGAGTGACAAAATATAAATATCTGGGAGCTTACATCAACACAGAATTAGATCCAGACCAAGAGATCCGGGTTCGAATAGAAATGGCAAGGGCAACGTTCTTAAAATTCAAACAATTGTTCTGTGACAAAAATCTGAATATTGCGCTGAGACTGAGGTTTGTTGAATGTTACGTCTGGTCGCAATTATTGTACGGGGTAGAAACATGGACACTAAAAGCGCAAATAGTTAAAAAGATTAAAGCCTTTGAACTTTGGATATACCGGAGAATGATGAGAATCCCATGGACTGCCAGGGTCACCAATGAGGAAGTGCTGAGAAGAATGGGTCGAGTCAAAAAATTGTTGAGAACGATAAAAGTACGCAAGACTGCATACCTTGGCCATATACTAAGAAATAATAAATATAGTCTTCTGCAGGTCATCATGCAGGGTAGAGTCGATGGCAAAAAGGGAATAGGTAGAAAGAGGAAGTCATGGCTGCGAAATATTCGAGACTGGACAAACATGACTGTAGACGAATTATTTCACGTTGCAAAAGACAGAGAAGCTTTTAAAAATGTGGTCGCCAACCTCCGTTAATGGGGACGGCATAGGAAGAAGAAGATATATATATATATATATATATATATATATATATATATATATATATATATATATATATATATATATATATATATCGCAAAAAGGAGTAGGACCGTCTATCCAATATATAATAAGGATCACTCAGACGAGTGGTGGGTTCAAATATCGGTCTACTAGGTGGAGAAATAAAAGACAAAGTTGATACTACTTCATCTATTTTGAAGACGTTTCGCTATCGAATTCTGATAGCATCATCAGTTCATCTAGAAATTTTACATTATGAGAACCACACATTCATGAAGAAGATGTTAAATAGTTACCTTAAAAAGATATGTAGTTGTCAATGGTATTAAAAAGTTAGTACAAAAACTCAAATAAATGGACATCATATGGTGATTGTATAAACAATTAAATAACTAACAACATTTAGAGACTTAGTAAAAATTAGCAAAGCAACAGAACACGTGGTCTAATAAGCATATAATATTTTATATAATATTAACTAGTGAAAAAGAACTAAGAAAATCATCGATTCACTTCCATCTATGCAAAAAATTATTTTATGACTTCATCTTAACTTTTGGTAGCATTATTTAAGTTATCTACATTGAGATATAAAGAATATATATAAAAAAATATAAAGTGAAGTTACCACTGTATGCTTGGTACCTGTTGCGGCTGAAATGGCGTTAATTAAAAGATACCGAGCCAATGACATGAACAGACAGCCAACCTTGAGGTCGAAAATTCTTCGACAGAACAGCAAGGTTAAGAGTACCAACCCACTAATTTAAGGGCGATATATTTGAAAAAGTTAACATGAGTTTGAATGATAACCCTCCCGTAAGAGACCAAACAATGAAAGAAATTAGCGATAACGTTAATCCCCTGCATCAACCAGTCTAGAACAAACAGGTAGGCAAAATTCATTCAACTTCATATATAAATGAGTGAAAAAACCGTCAACAGTGTAGTTGGATATACAACTACAGGTGAATGACGATAAGCACCTAATTTCCAAAAAGTCCAAGGTCCCACGCTTGGAACTTTAATTTATAAGGTATTCAAAGAATGAATTGCATTAATTTGTAATAAAGTAAAAATCAGAAATTCACATTAATCAATGTATGAAAAACGACAGAGTATGCAATGTGAGTTGCATAAGTAAGTCTAAGTTAATTGACATTATTGTAATATTATATTTTATCAAAGTATTAATTATAGTAAGTTAAAGTTTTAGAATTATTTAATAAAACAAATGTGTTAAATTGTACGACTTTAGAGACACATACATAATGAACTGATTGTAAAGCCTAATTCTGCAAAATTAAAGCATGATATATTTGGCTCAAGTTACTTATGTCAGTTCTCTTATTTAAAGCATTAGGATGTTTAACAATAGAACACATTTCTAAGAACTGTCTTTTACCAAGATTGCGCTCAGTGCCAATAATTTTGACTTCATTGAAATTCACCTTATGTTTGGTGTTAATTGCGTGTTGCGCTAACGCACATGTGTGCTTTGACAGATTAATGTCACTTCGATGCGAACTAAGACATCCTTTTAGTGATCTTCTAGTTTGACCAATATAACATGCGTTACACTCAGCACTAGGTAAGTAGTATATAGTGTTAACTTATTCCAAAGTGGACAAGGGTGTTTTAGTTTTAGAAAACAAATTTCTAACAGTCCTAGCATTCTTAACTGGTATGTTATTCTGTTTATACAGTTTAATAAGCTTCTCAGTAACTTGAGGAAAATAAGGCAGAGATGAATAATGGGTGGTAGGATTCTCAAGATCAGCATTAGGCAGAACAATGCTATTAACTGAATTATTTGAAATGGTTCTAAGCTGGTCACCATTGGGTATATCCAATTAACACCAAACATAAGGTGAATTTCAATGAAATCAAAATTCTTGGCACTGAGCGCAATCTTGGTAAAAGACAGTTCTTAGAAATGTGTTCTATTCTTAAACATCCTAATGCTTTAAATAAGAGAACTGACATAAGTAACTTGAGCCAAATATATCATGATTTAATTTTGCAGAATTAGGCTTTACAATCAGTTCATTATGTATGTGTCTCTAAAGTCGTACAATTGAACACATTTGTTTTATTAAATAGTTCTAAAACTTTAACTTACTATAATTAATACTTTGATAAAATATAATATTACAATAATGTCAATTAACTTAGACTTACTTATGCAACTCACATTGCATACTCTGTCGTTTTTCATACATTGATTAATGTGAATTTTTGATTTTTACTTTAATACAAATTAGTGCAATTCATTCTTTGAATACCTTATAAATTAAAGTTCCATGCGTGGAACCTTGGACTTTTTGGAAATTAGGTGCTTATCGTCATTCACCTGTAGTTGTATATCCAACTACACTGTTGACGGTTTTTTCACTCTTTTATATATGAAGTTGAATGAATTTTGCCTACCTGTTTGTTCTAGACTGGTTGATGCAGGGGGATTAACGTTATCGCTAATTTCTTTCATTGTTTGGTCTCTTACGGGAGGGTTATCATTCAAACTTATGTTAACTTTTTCAAATATACCGCCCTTAAATTAGTGGGTTGGTACTCTTAACCTTGCTGTTCTGTCGAAGAATTTTCGACCTCAAGGTTGGCTGTCTGTTCATGTCATTGGCTCGGTATCTTTTAATTAACGCCATTTCAACCGCAACAGGTGCCAAGCATACAGTGGTAACTTCACTTTATATTTTTTTATATATATTTTTTATATATCAATGTAGATAACTTAAATAATGCTACCAAAAGTTAAGATGAAGAATAAAATAATTTTTTGCATAGTTGGAAGTGAATCGATGATTTTCTTAGTTCTTTTTCACTAGTTAATATTATATAAAATATTATATGCTTATTAGACCACGTGTTCTGTTGCTTTGCTAATTTTTACTAAGTCTCTAAATGTTGTTAGTTATTTAATTGTTTATACAATATCACCATATGATGTAAATTTATTTGAGTTTTTGTACTAACTTTTTAATACCATAGACAACTACATATCTTTTTAAGGTAACTATTTAACATCTTCTTCATGAATGTGTGGTTCTCATAATGTAAAATTTTTAGATGAACTGATGATGCTATCAGAATTCGATAGCGAAACGTCTTCAAAATAGATGAAGTAGTATCAACTTTGTCTTGTATTTCTCCACCTAGTAGACGGATATTTGAACCCACCACTCGTCTGAGTGATCCTTATTATATATATACATATATATATATATATATATATATATATATATATATATATATATATCTATATATATTATATATAGATATATATATATATATATATATATATATCTATATATAATATATATAGATATATATATATATATATATATATATATATATATATATATAAATATATATATATATATATATATATATATATATATATATATCTATATATATTATATATAGATATATATATATATATATATATATATATTATATATATATATATATATATATTATATATATTATATATATACATATCTATATACATATATATATATATATATATATATATATATATATATATATATATTATATTGATACTATTATATGGTTGCAGAATTCTGGAATTGGTGTAATAAATAAATGAAAGATGCAAAATAAGCCAATTGGCAGTTTGTAGTAGAAGGCTTTCAGGGAAAAAAGTTTTCGTACAAAATTTTGAACATTATGCATTACTAGCATGCTAGAAGTAATTTTTATTTTCTACTAAGTATTAGCATTTTTTAAATTGGCAACTGTGTAATATTAAAATTAACAAATAACTGTAATTTTTAGGGTTGTATTTTTATATTGCTCCGTTGGAATGATTGCAGTAAAATCTATAAGCATTTTAAGTGGATTAACCATGTATACCCACTATGCAGATTGCGATCCTTTAAAGTCTAATAAAATACGACATAACAACGAGATCTTTCCTTACTTTGTTCTGGATGTGGCTGGTCAAATTCCTGGATTATCTGGATTATTTATTGCTGGAGTCTTTTGTGCTTCTTTAAGGTAGTTATATGTTAAGTAGTAAAAAATATCATTTAAACGTAAGTTTAGAAGCTCAATAATAAAACATAGTAGAGGTAAGGTATTATCTAAACGGCTATGACTCATGCATGCGCAAAGTACAAATTTTTAATACGATTTAACCGTAGGGAAAGTGGGGTACGTTTAGACATTTTTTATGTTTTTAATGATTATGATTTTATGTTGTTAATTACCGATTTTTTTAGTTTAAATTCAAAATGAAATTATTAAATCTGATTATACTTAAACAAAATAGTAGTCTTTTGTAATCACAAACTAGTTTCTTATTAATAATTATTTTTAAAAACACTTTTTTTTCTCAACCTGGCCTAAGTAAGTGAGCCAGCTTGAAACAGATCCAAAACAACTAAAAAATTCGTTATATATTTCAAAGTATCAAATGACATATACATAAAATTCAACAAAATAAGTTAAATCAAAGTTCTCAACGAATGTCTATATTATCAAACTTGAAGCCAAATGAAATAACGGACTTCTGACAAACGGAGGTAGAAACTGATTCATCTCTACCGTTTCTCGACGTTATAAAGAAAAATTAATCCCAAAGTTTTTATCACTCTATTTATCAAAAACCCACTCATACCAATTGTTACTTGCATACCAACTCTCACCATTCACCTTTACAAATTAAATCAGTGATTATTACTCTTAATAAAGCAAGCCCTCATCCATAACGGTTACCGCGAAAACTACATTAAGAGGAGCATAAACAGACATAAATCTCTCACTCAATCTCAACAGAAATACTTAGACCCTTATCATACGACAGCTTTTCTTCCTTACATAAAAGGTGTCACTGACAAAATCGACAAAATTCTTAAATCAAGAGAAATAAGGACAATATTTATCCTCTAATAAAAATTTTCATCCCTTGTTCGATAAATCAAAGACAACATTTTAAATGAACAATACGGAGTTTACTAAATTCCTTGTAAAGACTGTTCCTGATCCTATATAGGCCCAACAAATCGTAGAATCCACAATAAGATTTATGAAAATTCCATTTCTGTTCGGAATTCCAATTCAATTTCAATTCAATTTAATTCTCTAGGTCAACACCACCTTCATATAGGTCGGCAATAGACAACTTCAAGAGATGACGGCATACGGTTACCTTTGACATGGAGATCTGCCGTAAAGAAAATATCGTCCGCCCCACCCGACAATCAAAATCCTACTGTCAGAAATGTTAGCGTCGACACCCACGTTAACCCTCGTGTCAACCTCTACTCAGACCACGTCACTATCAAAAGTATAAATAAGCCGTCTTCGGTACTCAGCAGCAGTAATGAATTGGTTAGTGATCACTGTAGTAGTGTCTGGGGACTCGGGAGACTGAGACCACGTAAGCCCCAAAGAGGACATCAAAGAAGATGTGGAAAGATAATGCGCAATGATATTAGACACGCATACAAGACGACCAATAATCAGAAATATGTATAAAACGATTGCCTTCCATCGATATACGTTTTTTGGTCTTCTATTGTGCGAGACATGCCATTATATTTTACCTTATATATACATATCTGTCGGTATAAAAGGCTATAATGACAGTGAAAGGCTACACTGTAATTCCTTGGAGTCATTTTAAACAGAAAGCTCACTTTCACGGAACACGTAAAACAAACTATCTACAAAGCAAAAGCACTAAGAAGTCAACTCTCTTCGCTAATCGGTAGAAAGAGCAAACTTCGCTTTAACACAAAAATGAGGGTAGCTAATAGTATAATACTACCCTCCCTAACATATGCATCTGCCGCATGGGGATACACATGTAAAACGAATAGGAGGAAAATCCAAACAACACAAAACTGGATAATCAGAGAAGCACTGAACCTACCTCAATACGTTCCACTGAGGTATTTATTCAGGGACTCTGGACAGAAAATAATCCTAAGGACAATGGACGAAAAAGCAAACACCATTTTTAATGGTCTCGTAAATCATCCAAGCAGGACATTAAGAGAGTTGACAAACTACGACATAAACACTAGAACGGTACATAAACGGCCAAAGCAACAACTTATTGGATATAGAGAAGAAAGATAAATGAAGAAAGAGATAGACACAGAGCCGACTACAGAGTATATTAGACAGTGAGCACCAAAAAAATATAGTATAGAAGAACAATTTACACCGGGGTGTGTGCAGGCACTATACACCCGGGAATGCACACCCCACCACACGCACACTTAGGTTAAATTAGAATAAGGAAAACAAAAAACACAAAAAACATATACACGGAGTGTGTGAGAGCGTTATATACTTGGGAATGCACACTCCATAGTTAAGGTATTAGCATAGATAGACTTAGTTTTAAAAAAACAAAAATCGCTCACTGTCTAATTAATGTCATGTCATCTTCAAGATAAACAAGAACACCCGTTACATCACAAAAATTTACATAACACAAATAAGAATGTATAAAAGGCCCGTCAGGCACTCTATACCAGCCAGCAGGCATAGGCCCTTCAGGCAGATCAAATATTGATCAAACGCGGACTCTGAGCATCGAGGTCATGTGCGGCAAGCATGGGCTCGGTGGCCAGGACTCACTTCTCGAACACCCAGCCGGCGAGGAGAACAAAATTTTTATTTTGTCAAATCGGCGACTGAGTGAACGAGCACACACATACTTTTCCAGACAGAGAGCTGTCGGTCTAGACCGATGGCTCTCTGTCTGGAACACACGCTCTTTTTTAGGGACATGAGTCCCGAAGTAAAGCTAGAGTAACTTCTATAAAGTCAGTAAAAATAAATAGGGAGAAAAGCCGACATGTGTGCTACCCCTACAGTTAGGTGGCCTAACCACAGTCATTAAAAACAGAAGTAATGTATGTTACTTATTATTATTTCCCTTTTCTTATGTTTCTAGTGCCCTATCGTGTAATTTAAACAGTTTAGCTGGAACCATATATGAAGATTTTATCAAACCAAAGCTTAGTACCAAAAATCAAGAAAATGCTGGATATTTTCTCAAGGGGTTAGTTGTTATAATTGGTATCATCGGAACCGCTCTTGTTTACATCGTTGAACACTTAGGAGGTCTTCTATCGCTATCCGTTGGCCTGGGCGGTATTGCCCAAGGACCATTGCTGGGGCTTTTTACATTAGGAGTACTGTTTCCAAGAGCAAATGCAAAAGTAAGTTTTTTATCTAGTTTATATTTCATTTACACTTAAGTGTAATAGACATTATGAAATATTCAAAATCAAATATAATATTGAACCAGACACAACTTGTAGCCAGTGATAATATTTGAGTAGGAACTAACCATAGACCAGATAATAACTTTACTGACATATCTCTGAATGTCTTTTCTATGGGATAAGACTGATTTAGGAGGCATTGAGTACGTGGAGCTTTATTTTTATATCTGTTTTCCCAATCTACATTAACAGAAATATATATTTTTCAATTAGTGTGTATTACCAGTATTGGCATATACAGGGTGAGTCACCACTAACGAGTAGGAAGATTAAAGCGAAACGGTAAAAGTTTTTTAAAAAAATTTAAATTTATGATTTGAAGGTTAATAAGGGCTACATTTTAAAATTATTTTGAACTATACAGGGCGTCTCAATAAAGTGCGGCGTATCAAAGTTATATTTTTTCTGATGGGACACCCTATATTTTATTGCATTTTCTAATTGTCGGCAAAAATAAGGTATAGTTTCATAAAACTTCCCTTTACCTATGTTCTGAGTAATGTGGAATATTCTTAAAATGTAAACCTTTAAACGAAGACTCATTCCTAACTTATTTAAGAAATTCTAATAAAATTGGTTATACCTCTAAATAATTGGATATTGGTTTCAAAGTGTTCAAAACAGAGTGTTCAAAATTTGCAGTTTTATTATTGGGTTATTCAATGTGTAATATAAGCCTTATTTTAAATAGAACACCCTGTATATTAATGAATTATAATATTTAAAAAATTTTCCACTTTCGAATGGTATATGGATGTCCTATAACTAGGAGTGATAGATTTTGCGTAATTTAAAATTTTCTTTTCGATTTCAACATTAGGTTACCCTCGATTTTTAAACCCATAATTTTGACATATTTGTTATAAATGGAACCAATGTAGTTGTAAACAAATTTGTATGCTATATACTTTTACTTGCTGATACACAACGAATGAGAAAAAATTTTAATAAACAAATAATACAAAATGATCATAAATAATACAAAATGAACCACATGATAAGCAAAAAAATTTTTTTTAAAGAAGATTCATTCTCGACTTATTTAAGCAATTATAACAAATTTTCTCTTACAACGAAATACCTATTTAGGTAATGGTTAAATTTATTGTATGACATTGTCATTTTCTGATATTACGGTCAAAATATAAAAATTCGTGGGTAATATTTAATTTTCATTGTTCCTAAAAATGAAGAATTACGCTATCCATGAAAGAGTCGACAAAATTGTCTCTTAGCTTCTAAAGTTCATGCTCAAAAGTATCCTGATAGAAGACACCTGCGAAAGGAAGTTTTTGAGAGATCGCTTAATAGATTCCGTGCTACTGGTAATTTACAAACAGATGGATAGGTAGAGGTGGTTCATATAACCCCTAGGTCACCAGGAATAACCAAGATATACTTTTTTAAATAGGGTTATATTAAAAATATTGTCTACACCTCTTACTACTAAAGATGACATAAAATAAAGAATTACAAACGCGTTCGTGTCAAGATGGCAAGCAATTTGAACATCTGTTACATACCTGAACATTTTTAATTTATAGTAAGTATTGGATTATTTTGTATTATTTATGTCCATTATTCTTTCTTTCTTTCTTCCCTTCCTTTTACCCTATCGGGGTGTCGGATTTGGGCTAGCTATTTTAATTTCCATTTACCCACCTCTTCCATTCTTTTCTGTTTCCTGCCATTATTTTCAATTCCTCGAGTGATTTTTGTTTAAGTTTTCCCGCCTCTACTACTTGCTGTATCCATTTTTTTCTTGGTCTGCCTCTTTTTCTTTTTCCGATGTTCTTTACTTTATAAACTTTTTTTGTTATTCTATTAGATTGCATCCTGATCAGATGCCCATACCAGTTCATTTGTCTCTTTGCTATTTTGTTCATTATCGGTTCCTGGTTGGCCATTCTCCTAATAGTCTCGTTGCTTTATCTATCCCATTTTGTCTTTCCAACTATCCTTCTTAGATGTCTCATCTCCATTGCGTTTATCCTGCTATTATGTTTTTCCAGAATTGTCCAGTTTTCACTTGCATAGAGCACAGTCGGTATCACTATTGTGTTATATATTTTTATTCTTGTCTCTCATGTAAGTTCTCTTTTTCACCTTATTGGGGCTAACGCATAGTATAACTTGTTTGATTTATTTGCTCTATTTGTTATGTCCCAGTTTATTTTTCCGTCATTAGTTATTATACTTCCCAGGTATGTGTAAGTTGTTACTATTTCCAATTCTGAGTTTTTACATTTTATCTTTATTTGATTATCTTCCTGATCTCCTTTGTCACTGATTATCATTATCTTACTTTTTTCATATATCCATATCCATTAGTTTCAGCATTTTATTCTCGGAATCTGCTATTAGTAATATGTCGTCTGCATACATTAAGGAATCTATTATTACCGGTTGTAATCTGTGGTAACCTATTATTGTCTGTAGTTGATTGGTTCTGACTCTAGTGTTTCTTATCAATTCGTTCATTACTATTATGAATAGCAAAGGGCTGAGACTATCTCCTTGTTTAATACCTCCCTTCGAATTAAATGCTTCCGATCTTTCCCCTGTTATTTGTACCCTCCCTTTTACCTCTTTGTAAGTACTTTCTATAATTTTTATCAATGCATTAGGTACATTTATTTTTCCTAAGCATTTCCCTATATCTCTTAGTCTTAGGTCTATGAATGCTAATACTAGTTTTTCCCCGTATCTATGCTTCTTTCTATTAGGTTTCTAATGATATATATGTTGTCATTTGTCTGTCTTCCCGGTCTAAATGCCGTTTGTTCTTCTCCCAATACCATTTCTACTTCTTGTCTCAGTCTCTTCTCTATTATTTTCGTATATATTTTGTAGCATACCGATGAAAGACATATTGCTTTATAGTTGTCGCAGTTTACATGTTCTCCTTTTTTGTATATTGGCACGATGATATTATTCTGCCAGTCTTTAGGGATTGTTTGTTTTTCCCGCGACTCTTTATATATTTTCCATATCCATTTTATTCGTTCTTCTCCCATGTATTTTACCATTTCCGGTTCAATTTCATCGTCTCCACCTGCCTTGCCTATTTTTATATTTGATAATCCTTCCACTACTTTTTCTACTATTTGCTCTAGCTCTGTGTTTTCTTCATCTCCATTGTTTATATTGTCTTCATTTATCCATTCGGTACCAAATTTTTTCTCATAATATTCTTTCCATAACCTAGCTACTTGTTTTGGGCTTATTTGTATTTGGTTTGAAGTATCTCTTACTGCGTTTATTTCCTTTCGTCCTCTTTGCCTTATGTGTCGTATTGTCGTCCAAAAGTTTCTATTATTTGTTATATATTCTTTCTGAAGTTCTTCTGCAAATTCTATTCATGTTTTTGCTTTTGTTTGTGTGACTGTCTTGTTTACCAATCGTCTCTGACTATAGTATTTTTCTATATCTTCTTCTAATCCCTTTTCGATGTATTTTTTCCATGCTATTTTCTTCTTTTTTATTTCTGTCTTCACTTCTTGATTCCACCATCTTGTCCTTTTTAATTGTTTATTATATTTTTTGATTCCACACACTTCAGTTACTGTTTTCTTTAATACTTCACTGTAAGTATTCCATCTTTCTTCCATTGTCCATGTTTCTTTTTGGCACTGTATTTGTCTCAGTCTTTTGTTAGTTTCCTCCGTGTAGAATTCTCGCACACTTTCTATCTTTAGTTTGTTTGCATTTACTTTCTCATACTCTTTTCTTTCCACTTCCTCCAGTTTTTCATCCTCCAGTTTTGCAGTGTCCATTCTGTGTTGTGTAGACAGTTCCCGTTCCTTTTCCGTTAATGTTCATTATTCATTTTGTATTATCTTCTATTATTTGTTTTATTAAAATTCTTTCTATTTTGTTATGTATTTAATTGGTTTCAAAAAAGAGTGTGCTCGTAAGTAAGAAGTTATAGGTACATCTATTATTATGACTTCAAAGAAATAAATATATTTTACAGTTTTATTTTTATTTCAATAATAAACTTATTTTAATACTTAAAATAATACAAAAAATTAAACAGAATTTTAATATCTACGTCATTTTTGAAAACTGTAACCTCTGCGCAGTTACCTTTCACTTGATGAATCGTAGAAAATCTAAAAAACATCAGATTTTCAACATTTTTTTTTTTTATTTTCTCTTCATCATATTTTAATACTAATTATCCTATTACTAGCGAATACAAATCCAAAGACATAAAATTTTAAATTTATTTACAAAAAATGTATTTACAACTACACTGGTTTCGTTTATAACAATATGTCAATATGATGGCTTTAAACATCGAAAATGAAAATTATAAATATTTGAAATCGATTTCTGTTTAACAAAATTTTAAATTACGGCAAAACTATCAGTCCTAGTTATAGGACATCCGTATATTATTCGAAAGAGAAACATTTTTTAATTTAATAATTTATTAATATACAGGGTGTTTCATTTAAAATAAGCCTTACAATACACATTGAATAATCCAATAATGAAACTAAAAAATTTGAACACCCTGTAAATAAAGGTTTAATAATTATTCATGAGATACATTCGACCAATATTAAGATGTATCAGTAATTTTATTAGAATTGCTTAAATTAATTAAGAATGAGTCCTCGTTTAAAGTTTTACATTTTAAGAAAATTCGACATAACTCATAACACTGTAATAGGTATAGGAAAGTTTTATGAAACTATACCTTATTTTTTGTAGACAATTAAAAAATCCAATTAAATACAGGGTATTCTATAAGAAAAAATATCACTTTGAAACGCTGCGCTTTATTGTGACACCCTGTATATTTCAGAATAATTTTAAAATGTAGCTTTTATCAACCTACAACCTACTAATTTTTTTTTTAAATTTCGCTGCAATCTTCCGTCTCGTTAGTGGTGACTCACCCTGTGTACTAAAATCACTGAGCATGCCACGATGAACGGTGCAGCTTAGAGTGACTCAAAGAATGATGAATCATTCGATTTAGAGGTAATGTCAATAGTAGCTGATGCTATAGAGAAAAATTATTGTTTATATTCTTGTACAAGATTTTGTGTCACATACTCTAGTTCATCACATTATTGTGCAAACATTACCTGATCATCTGAATAACATAAAATATAAAGTTCGTTACTATCCCAGGGAATTTTCATCCATGTAATTTCAACCTTAATTATCTCAACATTTATATTGTTTTCTTCAAGTACCTTTCACTGGTTTTGGTAAGCAAAACACTGGCAGAATCCTTTTTGAAGTCCACACATAAAAATGACCTTCTTGAATAGACGCTATCTTTTTCCCAATCACTTGGGGTTACACAGAAAAGGACTCTGTCTAGGACTGTCTGAAACCTTCCTCCAAAATCCCCTCCACCTCAATAAGTTCCAAAATTTTTATGTTATTTTTGTTCCCCCCTGGCAAAGGTCTAGATCTGCCACTAACACTAAATTGATTTGCCCCACTAATCATTTGGGATCCTGGTTACAAAACTTTATTTAATATTATTTTCAATTTAGTTTTTTCCATATTTTTTAAAATGATATACGATCCAAAAGTGTACAAAAAGTAAATAAATGTTTGAAATATTTATTTTTAGGGTGCTTTCTGTGGAGCATTGGCCAGTATAGTAACAGTAACGGGTTTAGTTTTTGGTGCTTATTATCTAAAATCACAGCATATTATTGTTCCGGAATACAAAACAACATCGATTGCTGGTTGTTTAAATGGAACAGATTCAATATTAGACAATCTTATGGGAAATAGTACAAAAATGTAAGTATTTTTATTTAGTACAATATAATATAATTAGCGTAAAAAATATCGATATAAATGTTTTTGAAAAAAAAATGTCTGATTATTTTTAAGTTATTTTGCTTAACAAAGATTAATAAACAAAATATTAAATGCGATAGAAAAATTAATTTTGAATTTAATTTCTAATGTAATAATAATATAATAATATAAAATAATATAATATAATATAACTATAATGTAATGAAAATATTCAAAAAATTAAAATTACCCTCTTAAAACCGATTTAGATGAGGAGTTACCCACTGGGTTAGCTTGTTCCTTTATAAGCCAGTATTTAAAACGATGCGATGCCCTTAAGAACCATAGGTTCCGACCAATTAAAGCTTTACATCTAAATAGATCAGTGACACGCTGCAGCTTTGTATGAAACTTGCTTTTATATTTAAAGTAAAAGAAAGCATGCAACTCTCTATAAGGAGCTGTAGGTAGCAACTTGCTACCTACAAAAAGTTGCTACCTACAGGTCCTTATAGAGACTATGGTTTAGGGCCAGTAATCCCAGTTTGAAAGTGTTACGTTGCCATGAAGTCATTTCTGTTTAAAACTTAAACATTCCAAATTATTTTTAGCAGAAATGTAACTTAAAAGTAATTTAACAACATTTAAATGGGTTTTACCCGTATATTTAGTGACTTCACACATTATGCCGACTAAATATACTTATTATGGAATAGTCATTTTGAAAAAGTTCTGTGGTGTAGCACAAAACAGTCTTTTATATAAATATACCTTTTATAAAGGATGTTTTAAATAAAATATTCTTGATTCAATTTGATCAAGAAAACATTTCCTTAATAACAAATGGTCTCAAGTAATAACGAGATTTTTGCAACAAATCAACTCATAGAACATTTTCAAAATGTGGCTGACACAAACAATTTCCTTCTTCTATAGAATTGTAGTTATACGACTGCCTGCAGTTAACTATTTCTATTCATCGCTGTAGAACCACCGCCACCAGCACACCTTCATTCTGTCCCAAATGTTGTCCATAGCAGGCCGGACATCCAACAGAGCAAATCTGTATTTGTCATCACAATCTCCACTATCATTAAAGTCAATTACATACCGGACGTCCTTTCCGCATCTATCAACAATCCAGTCGTGTCTGTCAAAAGGTAATTCATATCCCAAAAGATGGCGAATTCTAGCTCTGGGACTGTAGTCTTGTGCTCCCATTTTAAAACTTCTTGCCATGCTTGTTCGTTATTGGTATTGTGAATTTTTATTATGTTGTCCATATCTCCTTGTTCAATATCATCATCTCTCCATTTCCAACCTTTTCTCAGCATGGTATTCCAAAACAACTGTGGACTAGGATATACCCAAAATTGCCCTTCTCCTTCTTTTATTATAGCTTTAGGTATTGTTGAGACCTGGCGATCAGTTAACCAGGGAAAGGGTTGTTCTGGTAATGGCTTTTGATTGACTGGTCCCATCATATTTAAGGGATTTATATCGTCATTGCCCTGTACTGGACAACCAGATTTCACTTGTTTTTGTTGTACCTTTTGGTGCATAGGACATTCTGGCGGTATTTTTCCAGTGTAATTCTGATATTTCTGATATTTGAGAATGTATGTAGGTACATACATTAAAAGTCAAAATATACTAAAATATTCTTGATTTATAGTATACAGCCCACTACAGAAAATTCATTTTCCCTGTGAAATCAAGGATTATTTTACATCAACAGAAAGCGAGGTTTTATTGATTATAGCTTTTGTTGTTTTATCTAGATAAGTTGTTGGATTATTAATTGGTTATTCGGAGTGTTAATGAGATTTAAAAGTTTATGAATAAAAAAAGCAGAGATTAGGGTACCTGTGGTGTTTCATTTATAGGAAAGAAAAATAACTAGATTTAATCTGATTTTTGGAAAAGTTCTTACAGGGCTTTTCTCTCGGATTGGGTAATCTTTGGAGTAAGAGGCTTTGAGTTTTAAAAAACTCAACCGATCTAAGTCTTGTTAGCTATTTCAGGATGACAAATGAATGTTTTATTTAGAATGTGAAGGGAAATCTTAAGTGACAATGGTAAAAATGAAAGTTTTACAAAAGTTGTGAACTATTATGGTGGGTTTCAAAGCTGTGGTGTGTGTAAGTTTTGTAGTTTCCTCAATAATTAGATGTGCTAATTTACGTTTTTGGGTTTTGTTTTTTGATTCGAAAATGTTTCAGGCTATTTGTGTGTTAACATAGTCGAAACTGTCCAAGAATATATGATGTACTTATAAAATATTATAGTATTGTAACAAAATCTGTTCCTTGTGAAGACATGTTCAAAATCTGGTTTAATTTTAAATAAAAGAAGAACCCGGTTAACAAGAAAAGTTTAAAAACTTATGTTTGTAAATGTCAATTTAGACGATTCGTGATTTAATAATGTGTAATTTAATTGTAAGTACTATTATTTGTATTGTTTAATTTATTTTTCAAGTTACAATAAATATATCCTTCGGTAGTTTCTTTCACTTCAATAGTTATACACATAAACTATAATAGCCAATATGTTTGTTTGTGTACTTGCTTATTTGAAACTACTGGTAAACAATCAACTAGTTACAGTTTACGAAAAACGGTTCCGATGAAAATGTCAACGACCCATCTTTAGTTCTTTAGGATTAGGATCGGAACCGAAGATATGTAAAATATCTCTGATCGGAACTAATCGTCTCACTAATATCGTCTATTAAAATAGATAAACACGTACGTGATACTCGATACGTGATTGATATGGAAATGCTCTATGGAAAAATGATATTAATACAAGAAATTGCCTTAATTGATGCTGATTATTTGGCAAAGGAAATTTTTTTATTGACTCAATCTTATGTTTACTGGGTGAAATTTTATTAAATGAAATTTCATATCCCAAGTAGGTAATTTTTGTCATTAAGAATTTTGATTTTGACATCTTTACAGTTAGACCATAATCTTCTAATACTTGCAATACTTTATTTAATAGTTCCAGGCTTTCCTCAATACTTTTTGAGGGAATTAAGATATCATCCAAATACGGAGTAATACTGTTTTGCTTAAACGGTTCAAAGATTTCGTTCATCATTTCTTGAAATACAGTCGGTGCATTAGATAACCCAAAAGGACAGCGTAAATATTCATAATGTCCTTGACTAGTAACGAATGCTGTGTATTTGATTGAGTTATCTGCCATAGGAATTTGATGATATCCTGCTGCCAAGTCCAAGGACGTAAAATATTTATAATTATATAAGCTGTCAATTATCTCTTCAATTAAGGCATTGTTGGAGGTATCTTTTTTGAAATTTTATTTACATGCCTATAACCTACCACCAGACGTTTTTGACCATCTTTTTTATCAATAAGAAAACAAGGGCTTGTGAACGATGAATTACTCTTTCGAATAATATTTGCCTCCAATAATTCTTGTATTGTTTCTTGTAAAATTTCTTTGTCAGCTGCAGGTGTTCTGTAGGGACGAAACTTAACTAAATCTGAACTTGTAATATCGATTCTCATAACAACAGAATGCGATTTTTTAGTGCTTTCAAATTTGTATAAAAACATTTCTCGTGATTTAGCAAAATTTTTTCCAACATCATTTTCTCGTGTTTAGATATATTTCCTGTATTTATTTCCTTATCTAAGTCTTTCTTATATTTAAATGTTAAACTATTATCTATCCTATAATACATAATATTTACATCTTCTGTAAAATTTCTTCCTATTAGAAGGTCATTAACCCAATGTTTATCCATGACATATAACATAGTATTTAATTCTACAACATCGATTTTTATTTTAGCAAATACATAATATATAACTGATAAAGAATTTCCCAAAAATCCGGAAAGTTTTACATCTTTAGTTAATGATTTTATTTCTAATTTAAACTTATCTGCCAATTCTTTTGAAATTAGCGAACAATCGCTGCCAAAATCAATGAATGCAGTATAGTTTTGTTCATTTAAGAAAATAATTTTATTAAATTTATTTTCGGAAGAATCTAACTGTATTTGTTTAACAGATTTATTTTTTTCTAAATTGTTGTTCGTTTTATTTACTTTTGTCTCTTGCAATTATTTGTTCTTTTTAAAACAGTGTTGTTCAATATGACCTTTAATTTTACAAAACCTACATATTTGGTTTCTGTGGTGACAATATTTTTTTAAGTGACCCTGAATTTTACAGCACATACAAGGTTTATTCTTGTTAAATTTGTTGTTAACGAATTTGTTAGTGTGTACAAATTTTGATTTGGAAAAAATAACGTGATTTGTTAAATGAGGCAATTTTTTTGGACTTTTATAATAAAGCTTATTTCTTAAATAAACTGCCAATAAATTTACATCTTTAATTTGAGCAACTTCAATGGCAGATTTAATATGTTCGTCTCCAATAGCACCAATTATTAACGAAATCTTATCTGATTCGGAAAAATTTACTTTAAGTTTATTAATTTTTGGTAAATGTTCAAAATAAAATTCATATAATGAAGAACCCTCTGTTGGTTTATGATGGGCGACGTCCATAAAAAGATCATAAGTATTTCGTGTACTTTTAAAAGTATTTTCTAACACTGATCTCCATTCTGCCCAAGAAAATTGAGACCATGCAACTTCATTTACAATAAAACTAGCGTACCATGTTTTAGCGGTACCTGTAAGCTTAGAAATCGCTTGAAATATAATGTAATTATCAGACCAACTATACGTCTTAGCATTGTGCTCTATTATTTCAATCCATCGATCTATTTCTCCAATTAGTGGATCAAATTCAGGAATAAAACTGACGGATTCAATATTTCTACTCGTAAAATTATAAGTTGCAGATGGAGAATTTATTTTTGTGGTATTTTCTTTAATTTGAGACAAATGCGTATAGGATCTATTTATTTTTGAATTTTTAGAACTATTTCTTGACTTACGTGTTCTTTTCGTTTTCGTATACCTTAACTCCCTTTCCGGCGAAGAATCCGTGGACGAAATAGTTGTGGTTTCACTTCTTGAACTACTCTTTCGCTTGGAATTTTTCCTTTTCGGCATTTTAGACACCTTTATTCACTTAACATTAAAAACAGTTCACTAAACTCTACCGTAGGTCCTTTAACACACTTCTGATATCGTCTATTAAAATAGATAAACACGTACTTACGCAAAGTAGTTATTTTTATTAAATTAAATCAAACAATGTCAGTTTTACAGTTCACAATGGTCAGCATTAAAAACACTAAGTTATCATTTCTCCCCTTCCGCCTTGTTTACATGTCATCAAAGAACTACTCGTGACCATATAAGGTGATTAGGAATTATTTATTAGGAATTCCACCTTAAGCTGATTGAGACATTAGGAAGTTAGTGACTTAAATTGATCAGCGTATTAGGATGATAGTGTGACTGCACTAATGGGCAATTATTTTTGGAAAAGTTCTTACAGGGATTTTCTCTCGGATTGAGTAATCTTTGGAGTAAGAGGCTTTGAGTTTTAAAGAACTCAACCGATCTAAGTCTTGTTTAGCTATTTCAGGATGACAGATGAATGTTTTATTTGGAATGTGAAGGGAAATCTTAAGTGGCATTGATAGAAATGAAAGTTTTAGAAAAGTTGTGAATTATTATGGTGGGTTTCAAAGCTGTGGTGTGTGTAAGTCTTGGAGTTTCTTTTGTTTTTGGATTCGAAAATGTTTCAGGCTGTTTGTGTGTTTACATAGTCGAAACTGTCCCAGAGTATATTATGTAAATTGTAAGAATAAATAGAGGAGGATTCCTGACCTGGAAGTTAACCAGTATAATATGAAAATATCGGCTCTTTAGTTAAGTGAATTTTAAGTTAAATATACCCGCTGAAAAATTACAAGAGTGAGTTAGTGAAGTTCCTGAGTAGGAGTAACATCAGAGACTCTATAAGTCAGCTTATATTACATCAATTATTAGTAATAAACAAAAATATCTATTTGAAAACACAAGAAGAACCATCGAATATTTCAAATACAAACAAGAATTTCTTATCTTTTTTGTTTTTGCACCGGCTTAATTGCCTTGTTATAGTTTGGATACAGGACCGCATTCAGGTGTAATGACTAGTTTCAAAGTTTATCTAAATGGATGATATTAATTCCGAATTAGCTCAAGAAATAAGCTGTATTTCACCACCAACAGTTAAAAAATCGTACTAATCAGTAACCAGTACTCTTAATTTTCCATCCAGAAAGCAAGCTATAGTATTTAGTTCATTAGAAAATGTAAAATTAGAAGATTACCTTGTATCACTAGGATCAGTTATTTCTTCAAAAGATATATTGTTCTCTTCTCGTAAAGCTAACAATAGGATTTGTATTTATTTATCTAAGGAAACTTAGTTGACAAATTTATAAATGTTCATCAAGGAAAAATCATAGTAAACAACCAAATAATACAAGGAAAAAGATTAATTACTCCTAGTGAACGACTAATATTATCCAA